TCGTCTGCCTTGGGAAAGCTAGCGTGTCTCCGACACAGTGATAACACTCGTTGCCTTCTCTAGTGCAGCTCAACCAGGTCTCGTTCCATTCCTCGATATTTGCGATATCACAAATCCCGGAAAATATGCGTTGTTAGTCCTAACGAGTCGTTCGTTGTAGTTCTTGAAAAATGATTCCTGTTAAATATAATATCTCCATTTGAACTGGACTTTGAGCTTTGTAACTTCGCAGATCTTTTTTATGCTCAAACAGCAACATTACAGACTAACTAAAGTTGAAAAAGTGAAAAAGCATAATAGTAATAATTTAATAATAATTTAAAATATATTCAAATAGAAAATAGTGATTTGAAATTGCAATAATATTTCACAACAATTTCTGATCAAATTAATGTAGCCTTGGCGAGCAAGATACTTATTTGTAAAACTTTTTTTTTTAATCTTCCCAAACCCAAACTTTTGAAATGTAGTGCATCTTTATAGGAAACTGTAAAAGGCTCTACAGTATATTGTTATTTATATCATCATGCAGACATTAAGCTATTTAAGAAACAATATCACGAAACAAGAGAGATATTAAATAATAAAAAACTAGGTGATATTGAGGTCTGAATCATGTGACCATCACGTGAGGATCAAGTGGGTGATGAATCCAGAAAGTAAAGAAGTGTCTCTGGTTCCCCGCCTCTCCAGCAGGGAGCAGAAAATTATATGATCTGGAAACAACGTGTTGGGAATCAACAGGCCATCAAATGCTCTTCTGGCTATATATTTACAGACGCTTTTATCCAAAGCAACTTACAAATGAGAATATGTGATTATCAAAATTTTTAATTGTCCACAGAAAGAGCAGACAAATTACTGCCGATCATCCCGTTTAATTCACTATGACCATGATGACACACTGCAGTTGATGGAAGTGATAAGCACTTTATTGCTCTTAATATACTTCACCAATGATGACTACATCCTAAATGACTCGGGAATAAAGTTTTACGTTCACTACAAAGCACACAGTGTAACAGTCCTAAATAGGAATGAGGAAACAGTCAAGGTGGACATCAAGAGGAAATCATGTCATATTTACTGACTGACAACCTGCTTTCCTCTCAACCTATAAATACCCTCCACTGCAGGAGACTCAAGAGCTTATTTTCACGTTCATTTCCTTCCTTCTCTGGTGAATCATAACTTCCAGTTTTCCCATATATCATACACGGAGCATTTTAATCCATTACTGTACATGGAACTGCAGCTTTATCAACTATAGAAGTTAAAAGCAAAGTAGTTTAACACAAAATCTGTCAAGAACATTTCAGACTTCACCTACAAAATAAAAATAAGTTTACACTGATTGGCCTGTTGTTTTCTGAGTGACGCACGGCCAGGCCAACCACAGGTAACTAGGGTCAGCCGACGTCACAGCGCTAGCTGGAGGCAGCAAAACAGAGGAAACTGGAGGCGGCCCATTCAAACCAGCGCAGATTCGGCTACATGAGGAGCTTAAAATATCATCTTGTTGTGATGTTGGGTGCCAGAATCGATGTAATACAGCCTCAAATTAGAAATTTGATCGCATATCTGCTGCCACAGCCAGACAAAAAACCGACGACAGCTGTGGCTAAACGCGATAAAACGAACAGACTGGACAGAAACAATCGTCAAAAATGCTCGGTTTGCAGCACACACTTCTTATCAGAAAATATTAAATAAAGTATTGTCTTTTGTTGTTATGGGCACGTCTACATATTTCTTGCCATATGTCTATGTTTCTTGCATCTCACGACTATGTCGTGTATGAAATAATGTCTGTGTGCATGTGTGTAAAACAACAAACTGACGATTTATATATAATCATTTGTAATTGTATATACATTGCTGTGATTAATTGTGGCTGGAACAATAATGTAGCTGTAAAAATAGTTGCCTGCTGAAATTGAAACGTATATACATCTTCATCATGACTAGATAGACACGGTGAGTTTGTCTTTACTATACATGTTAGATGTGATCCACCTCATAGTAACAATCCTGTCAGATCGTCC